GTGGGCCCAGCTCGTCTTCCTCCTCCTGTGAGAGCTCTCCGGCCGCTGCCACAACGCCAGGGCCCAAACCCTCCATCTGCTGTAGGTGAACCAAAAACAACTGATAACAGCTCTCAGTGATATGTGTCGGGTCCCCGCTATAATAGCAGCAACATTCACAAATTGGGACCAAACTCTCCCACTCTTTTGCTGCAAGCCCCCAGATATCAACTAAAAAACGGCGGGCCCCACAACCACCAAAGCCTGTGGTTCCAGCTCGTCCTCCTCCTCCTCCAGTGAGAGCTCTCCGACCGCTGCCACAACGCCAAGGCCCAAACCCTCTATCTGCTGTAGGTGAACCAAAAACAACTGATAGCAGCTCTCAGTGATGTCCCCGCTATGATAGCAGCAACATTCACAAATGTTTACAGAACAAGCGGGAACCCAGTGTGCCTGTAGCTTTCTCTATTTCTGTTTTATCACGTGATAGAAAGTCTAAGGCCTTCTCAAGCCATATGGCTGACCCATCTAATCTCCACAATTGTGGACATACTCTAGATTTAATCATCAGTAGAGGTCTAAGCATTTCATCCATTGTTGTTAAGGATGTAGCACTATCTGATCACTTCTGTATTTTCTTTGATATATTGATCTCTGTTACCACTGAATCTAGATCTGTCTCTGTCAGAAAGAGATGCATTAACCTAAACACAAGTGTGCTATTTATGGAGGCTATATCTCTAACACCAAGCATTTCTGCAGACTCTGTTGATCTTCTCCTCGATTCCTTTAACTCAAAAGTTAAGAATGTTATTGATGACATTGCTCCTGTGAAAGTCAGCAAGAAGACTTGCAGACATACAGTAAATCAGCTTGGAGAAAATCAACAGCAGTTCAGAGTATGAAAGGACAATGCAGAAAAGCTGAGCGGATCTAGCTGAAGACAAAACTTGAAATTCACTTTAATATATATAAAGACAGCCTTCAAACAGTAACTTAAACAACACTCGCACTCTTTTTGCTACTGTTGAGAGACTGACAAACCGAGACTGACAAACCCCCCCAAGTCAGATTTCCAGTGAAATGCTCTCCGACAGCAAATGCAATGAGTTTGCATCCTTCTTCCCAATGTGATTACATCATGCATGAAGTCCAGCTAGTGCAAGACCAGAATCTGTGATTAAAAACTATAGAATTTTTTTTTTTTAGAAAATGGCCGATGGTTTCTCTAGATAAGACTCTTATTCCTCAGCTGGGATCCTGTAGAGCTCTTTGAAGCTGCACTGAAACTGCAGTTTGGACCTTCAGCCCGTTGGTCCCCATTGAAGTCCATTATATGGAGAAAAATCCTGGAATGTTTTGCATCTGCTTTCTAATGTATGTCAGTACATCAGTTCTTTTTGAGTATTTTAGATTCAAACGACAAACTAACAAGCAAGAAAAAAAACATTGCACCTTCTCCACTGGTTGCCAGAACTTTCCTTGTAGTGTGTCCCTTTGCTAATTTACAGCACCAGTGGGACCCTATTATTTTCAAGAGGAAGATGTCAGCTCCTCACCCAACAGCATGGCTCATAACTGGAACAAAAGAATGGGCTTGCGGCGTGTTTAAAAGTGGATTACGTTCAGAAGGCTCAGTTCTGAGCCTGGCTGGGAGCCTGTGATGTTCAGCAGCCATACAGAGAGCAATTTCCTTCCTCTCACAGTGTTGACATTTCTTAAAGAGACCCCCCAGAGCGGAGCGCTCTCGCCCTCACGGTGATTAGCCGCGTAGTGCCGCGGTGTCGACTTATGGCATGCAGAATTACAGCAGCGATGGTTTCACATGGATGAAATTAGTGAAAAGGTCAACAGGACGAGATGACTCGTGTGTATCGGGCTACAGGGATCAGTTATTGTTGTAATTATGAGGTGAGGATGTATCGATCATGTGTGTGTGATATTTCTCTACAGAGCTGTAGTCCAGTATAAAATGACCATGTAAAAGCTGCTTCCGGCTTCGCTACCGTTCGGACGTTCTTGCTTATTGCTCTGCGCTTTGCTCCCTATTTCTGTACTTTTCTAAAAAAAAAAATTTGATTTTTAGGATTTTTCTAAGATTTGTACTTCAGCAGATCAGCACAGAGCTCAAACAACACATTTTTGGCACAAATACTAAAACTAAAAACTCTTTGGGACTGGAAAAATACCACGAAAAAGAAGATTCTTTGCTTCCCACTGCCAGCAGCTTACATTCCGGAGACGGGAAAACACAGCTGCCCACATTCAAACAGAAGAGAAAGAAAATGCCTCCTGTTGTCAACTTCTACAAAAGATTGTGGTTCTTCAACTCCATTATCAGAAACATCATTACCAGGACTACAACTACATGCTGCCTTCCTCAAGCAACCGTTTCTGATGAGAACAAGGAACTTCGGAAAATTCAAATTAAGCACAAGACTGCAAATCGAATCATCGTCCATGTGGGGAAGAATGATATCCGGAAAGAGCAGTCAGAACTCCTTAAGAAGGACTTTCAAACTCTCTGAAACACTTCGAAGACTTAAAGTTCAGTTGTTCATCAGTGGACCACTCCCAGCAAGAGGAACTAACATGTTTTCACGTTTGCTTGGGCTGAACACATGGCTGCAAAGAATGTGCAGTTTAAAAGGAGTCAACTTCATCGACAAATTAAATTTTTTTCTGGGGCCATAGACAACTGTTTAAACTGGATGTCCTCCACCCAAACAAACTTGATGCAAGAGTGCTTAAGGACAATACGTATCTACTTCTCCCTCCGTCATCCTTCAGTAGTGTGTGCCAAACTACTCAACCTGAATGACACACACACACCTGGACAGAGTATGAGTGACGACAGGACTTCATATCAGCTTCCAAGTCATCATGTAGTTGACACATCCCACAAGGACACTGATAACACCACGCAGCCACAACAAGCACTGCTCATGGACACCATCCCAGCTGAGCCCTGCCCACAGAGCTCATCACAGACAGACTGTGACATATCAGAACAGCTCCAAGACTCAGCACCCAAGGACAACTTTCTGGAAAATAGCCAGGGAAGCCAGGACAACATATCACAGCCACCAAAAACAATAGAGCCAGAGCCCCGCTCACCAGACACATTATTCCTCTCTCCAGCATCTCCACTTCTTAGCTTCTCACAGAAAATAGAGGAACTGGTTTATGCTGGGACCAAACTCTCCCACTCTTTTGCTGCAAGCCCCCAGATATCAACTAAAAAACGGCGGGCCCCACAACCACCAAAGCCTGTGGTTCCAGCTCGTCCTCCTCCTCCTCCAGTGAGAGCTCTCCGACCGCTGCCACAACGCCAAGGCCCAAACCCTCTATCTGCTGTAGGTGAACCAAAAACAACTGATAGCAGCTCTCAGTGATGTCCCCGCTATGATAGCAGCAACATTCACAAATGTTTACAGAACAAGCGGGAACCCAGTGTGCCTGTAGCTTTCTCTATTTCTGTTTTATCACGTGATAGAAAGTCTAAGGCCTTCTCAAGCCATATGGCTGACCCATCTAATCTCCACAATTGTGGACATACTCTAGATTTAATCATCAGTAGAGGTCTAAGCATTTCATCCATTGTTGTTAAGGATGTAGCACTATCTGATCACTTCTGTATTTTCTTTGATATATTGATCTCTGTTACCACTGAATCTAGATCTGTCTCTGTCAGAAAGAGATGCATTAACCTAAACACAAGTGTGCTATTTATGGAGGCTATATCTCTAACACCAAGCATTTCTGCAGACTCTGTTGATCTTCTCCTCGATTCCTTTAACTCAAAAGTTAAGAATGTTATTGATGACATTGCTCCTGTGAAAGTCAGCAAGAAGACTTGCAGACATACAGTAAATCAGCTTGGAGAAAATCAACAGCAGTTCAGAGTATGAAAGGACAATGCAGAAAAGCTGAGCGGATCTAGCTGAAGACAAAACTTGAAATTCACTTTAATATATATAAAGACAGCCTTCAAACAGTAACTTAAACAACACTCGCACTCTTTTTTCTACTGTTGAGAGACTGACAAACCCCCCCAAGTCAGATTTCCAGTGAAATGCTCTCCGACAGCAAATGCAATGAGTTTGCATCCTTCTTCCCAATGTGATTACATCATGCATGAAGTCCAGCTAGTGCAAGACCAGAATCTGTGGTTAAAAACTATAGAATTTTTTTTTTTAGAAAATGGCCGATGGTTTCTCTAGATAAGACTCTTATTCCTCAGCTGGGATCCTGTAGAGCTCTTTGAAGCTGCACTGAAACTGCAGTTTGGACCTTCAGCCCGTTGGTCCCCATTGAAGTCCATTATATGGAGAAAAATCCTGGAATGTTTTGCTCAAAAACCTTAATTTCATTGCAACTGAAGACAGAAAGACATGAACATCTCGGATGACATGGGGGAGAGTAAATTATCAGGATATTTTTATTCTGGAAGTGAACTAATCCTTTAAGCAATAAACAGAACGAGCCAATGTCTAATGAAGAGCATAGCTCATCTGAAATCTTCAGTATAATAGCCCAAAATTAGCTCCATCCCAGTGAGAATATTGTCTTTGCTCTCGTTCGATCTCTTAGTAGTAACTGAGCATCTTTAAGTCTGTGTTTGTGACCACATGCTCTCATCTGCTAAAGAAACATCCGTTGATAAAGCTCATCATCTAAAGCTGCTTTGACGCACATGATGATGAATTCAGTTCCTCTCATGCAGTAAAGCAGCTCTGCGTTGTGTCGCTGTTATATGTCAGTGTCTCTGTGGAGTGTTTCCAGCAGCTTGTTGAATTCAGCCTGTTCTGGGGCACAAGGGGTCCATGGCAGCATTAGAGAAGTGTATCTAATAAAGTGCCTACTGATCACATACACACAGGACAGATTTAATCTCTGAGGAAACAAGAGCTAATGAGAGTCAGAGACGGAGAGAGGGAGGACGGCCTTCTGTGGAGAGACAGCCATGCAAATATTTCATCCAGCGATTCATTATTTTTTCTCCTGAATCTCTCCCACAGAATAATGATCCCAAATACGCAGCAGTCACCAGCGGCCTCTCCTGAGCAGAAATTGGATTTTGGATGAACGATCAGACGGTTTACATTTCATCAAAATTCCCACGGTTTAAATTCAACCTCGCAGAGATGGAAATGAGAGCAGCTGTCGTTCACTTCACCTGCGCAAACACACACACACATATTGAGTCTTTCATTTTAACACAGCTGGTGAATTTACCGTGTGTAACGGCTCAAACTGCTACAAACATTTGAAATCTGTTTTCTCATTTGAAAACTCTGGAATGAGTTTATTTTTGCTTTCTGCATTTCTCGATTTCTCTTTATGGTTTCTCCCTCGTGCTAAAACGAAATGTGTCTTCATCTAGCTGTCGAACAGAAGCTCACGCAAACCGAATCTGCCTGTGTAGTTTTACATGAAACAAAATAATCAATGTGTATTTCATGGTGAAAAAGCTCATTAGGATAATGAGATTTTCTCTGTGAAGAAGTTGCACATCAACAGGAAAAAGAAAACATTTACAAAAGCTGTGTTTCAAATCTGATCTGAGTTTGTGTGGGTTACTGTTAGTAATCTTGGGTTACAGTCCCTGCATTTGTCATTGTTACGGCCGAATGGTGGAGAGTATTTTCACAAAGGTGAAGCTCTGTCATATTAACTAACACATCACAGTGATGTTGGAGAAACGCGAGTGAACATCACAGAAAATAAAGAACCTGAAAACAGATCTCACCAGTGTCATAACTTTGCTTTGAAAAGGGGTGGGGACACCGCGCAACTCTTTTTGCTAGTTTTTACTTAATAACCTAATTTACTTGGGGACAGGGTTTAGAGTTGGACAAACTTAATTTTGACTTTTAAAAAATACATCAATGTACCAGGGGCGGGGCTCCAGAGAATTTTGAATGCAGGTGCTGAGGGGGCTCCAGACTCATTATTCCCACTGCTCGCTCTTTTGCGATTAACTTTCTCAGTTGGTTGCACGAGCACGTTTTTTTTGCGTTACAGCATGCTATTAATCAATGCATGCTGATGAACTTTTATCGTAGTTTATAGTTATATGGAAACGAAAGTAGTTAACATTCAACCCGTTCTTTTTCATCAGTAGTATTATTTGTGATTTGAATTTTGTGAACGGGAGTTCCTCTTTTGCCATGTTATAAGCTGGGCTTCGGATGCTTTCACTTTGATATCATGATCTTGTCAGGTTTTACAATAAAATATAATTGTCTGTTTTGCTTACATCTATACACCTTTCACCTTTTCATTATTTTTAATTAAAATGCACAACAACAATAAAACAGTAAGATTCAATGACAAACTAGCTTACAAAACGTTATTAACAAAAACGAATAAGATGAGGCATGGCATAGGCCTGCACGCAGTATTGGGCTATATAATGACTAATAAATTACTAAACAGAACATTTAGCAAACACTGAGGAATCAAAAAAAAAAAAAAAGAGAGAGCCTCCATAGCATAACGTGAGGTAAACAGCAAAGATAAGCTTTTCAAAATGAAAACAAAACTAAAAGAAAAGTAAAACTAAACTTGCTGCCGGTGACAGTGCTTGCATGTTTTTTTTTACACAAGAATACCAACATATTCACCTTCTCTGGTTTAAGAAGCAGTCTTTTACTTTACTTCAGCGTGAAAACCATCAATATTCCCATCATTTTTGCTGAGCGCACCTTCTGCAATTAATAGTAAATATAACCAAAACAGGTTATTATAATTTTTATATGAATAATAAAATATATATAAGGAAAACTCGCCCACTCGAATTTGTAATATTAGGCTCTAATATTAATATAATTAATACGTCTGCCTATAGCCTATATTGAAGTATGGTTAATATATTATTATATTAATCAATTTAATATAACGTGTGACTAGTTGACTAGAAAAATCTTTAGGATTGAGTGAGAGAAGGAGTGCCTCTGAGTGAGTGATAGGAGGCGTGGCTCTGAGTGTGTGAGAGGATCAGTGACTCTGAGTGAGTGAGTGAGTGAGAGGAGGTGTAGCTCTGAGTGAGTGAGAGGAGGCGTGGCTCTGAGTGAGGGAGAGGAGGCGTGGCTCTGAGTGAGTGAGAGGAGGTGTAGCTCTGAGGGAGTGAGAGGAGGTGTGGCTCTGAGTGAGTGAGAGGATCAGTGACTCTGAGTGAGTGAGTGAGTGAGTGATAGGAGGGGTAGCTCTGAGTGAGTGAGTGAGTGAGAGGAGGTGTAGCTCTGAGGGAGTGAGAGGAGGTGTGGCTCTGAGTGAGTGAGAGGATCAGTGACTCTGAGTGAGTGAGTGAGTGAGTGATAGGAGGGGTAGCTCTGAGTGAGTGAGTGAGTGAGAGGAGGTGTAGCTCTGAGGGAGTGAGAGGAGGTGTGGCTCTGAGTGAGTGAGAGGATCAGTGACTCTGAGTGAGTGAGTGAGTGAGTGATAGGAGGGGTAGCTCTGAGTGAGTGAGTGAGTGAGAGGAGGTGTAGCTCCGAGTGAGTGAGAGGAGATGTGGCTCTGAGTGAGTGAGAGGATGAGTGACACAGGCTGTGTTCCACTCCACTTTTAGACACGCACTCGCAAACTTCCTTAAGCACTTCCCCTCGGGGGAATCCCCGCTGCCATTTTGAAGTGCGTTCCACTTCGTGAAGTGGACGAGGGAAGTTTATATGGACAGACCCTCGACCCCTTGATTTTGACAAAGGGAGCAAGTCTGCTTCATATGCATACTTTAGGCCGCTTCATAGACCACAATGCAACACGATTGTGACGTCATCGCAGATCACATTTAATTTATCCCCACCCCAAACAACTCTATAATATATAAATATTTTTTTTTACATTTATAACAGCCTAAACATACCTATATACATATAGAATGCTGCACCAAACAAATTCATAAGGGAAAAAATGTAAACAATAAACCAATCCCATAGCTGATTCTAAGTGATCAAGGGCTTAGGACGTTCCAGTTCAGCCCATTCCAAGGGTTCCGCCAGAAGTGGGCACTCATGCAACGTAATGAATGTCGTACATCCGAGTAAATGAGACGGAGGGAAGCTTGCGAGTGAAACGGACTGAGTGAGGGAGTGAGTGAGTGAGTGAGTGAGAGGAGGTGTGGCTCTGAGTGTGTGTGTGAGTGAGAGGAGGCGTGGCTCTGATTGAGTGAGAGATGTTCCTCTGAGTGAGTCATAAGAGACGTGGCTCTGGGTGATTGAGAGGAGGAGTGGCTCTGAGTGAGTGTGTGCGTGAGAGGAGGCATGGCTCTGATTGAGTGAGAGGAGGAGTGGCTCTGAGTAAGTGATAGGAGGCGTGGCTCTGAGTGAGTGAGAGGAGGCGTGGCTCTGAGTGAGTGAGTGATAGGAGGTGTGGCTCTGAGTGAGTGAGTGATAGGAGGCATGGCTCTGAGTGAGTGAGTGAGTGAGTGAGTGA